AAGCAGACAGTCGCCATATCTGGGACTCCAGCAACCTGGCTCACACTGGTAGCCCCGCCCTCGTGATACCCCGAGGCCCTGCCCATCCAACTTTCAGGCCCACCCAAGCTGTTGGCACTTGCTTAACCATAGGATTGGTCTGTCTTGGATCCTGCTTCAGGTTTTCCTAAATTCTTTCAAACAAGCAGCATCTGGTCTCAGCTAGCCCCATACCTCGTGTTAAGTAATACACAGAAACAAATACAGGGAGGCAGCCAAAATGAGGAGACAAAGAAGCAGGTCCCAAATGAAAGAACAGAACAAAACCCCAGGAAAAGAACTAAACAAAATAGAGATAAGCAACCTAACAGATGCTGAGTTCAAAATACTGCTTTTAAGGATGCTCAGTGAACTTACTGAGAACCTCAAGAGCATTAAAAAGGACCAGTCAGAAATGAAGCAGACACAGTCAGAAATGAAGGAGGCGTTAACTGAAATAAAGAATAATTTACACAGATTCAATAGTAGAGTACGTAAATCCCAGAAGCAAACCATCGATTTGGAATACAAGGAAGCAAAGAACACCCAATCAGAACAGCAAAAAGAAAAAAGAATCCCAAAAAATGAGGACAGTGTAAGGAGCCTCTGGGACAACTTCAAGCGTGCCAACATTCGCATCTTGGGGGTGCCAGAAGGAGAAGACAGAGAACAAGAAATTGACAACCTGTTTGAAACAATAATGGCAGAAAACTTTCCTAACTTGGTGAAGGAAACAGACATACAAGTCCAGGAGCACAGAGAGTCCCAAACAAGATGAACCCCAAGAGACCCACACCGAGACACATCATCATCGTCAAAATGCAAAAGGTTCAAGACAAAGAGAGAATCTTAAAAGCAGCAAGAGAAAAGCAGTTAGTTACCTACAAGGGAGTTCCCATAAGGCTGTCAGCTGATTTCTCAAAAGAAACTTTGCAGGCCAGAAGGGAGTGGCAAGAAATATTCAGAGTGATGAAAAGCAAGAACCTACAACCAAGATTACTCTATCCTGCAAAGTTGTCATTTAGAATCGATGGCCATATAAAGAGTTTCCCAGACAAGAAAAAGTGAAAGGAGTTCATCACCACCAAACCGTTATTATATGAAATGTTGAAGGGTCTTTTTGAAGAAAAAGATAAAATATATGAACAAACAAAATGGCAATGAGTACATATCTATCGACAATGGAATCTACAAACAAAATGAACAGGCAGAACAGAAACATTCTCATAGATACAGAGAACATTTTGTTGGTTGCCAGATGGGAGGAGGGTTGGGGGAATGGGTGAAAAAGGTGAAGGGATTAAGAAGTACAAATTAGCCCTGGCTGGTTTGGCTCAGCGGTTAGAGCTTCGGCCTGCGGTCCAGAGAGACCCAGGTTCAGTTCCCGCTAAGGGCACGTACCTTGGTTGCAGTTTGTCCCCGGGTGGCAGCCACTCGATGTGTCCCTTTCACGTCGATGTTTCTCTCTTTCTCTCTCTTCCTCTCTCTTCCTCCCACTCTATCTGAAGAAAAAATAGAAAAATGTCCTCGGGTGAGGATAAAAAAAAAAAAAAAAAAGTACAAATTAATTGCTAGACTGACAAACCTCAAAGGGAAAGGGGTTGGGGGGTGGGAAGAAATAAACCAAAGAACTTATATGCATAACCAATGGACAGACAATAGTGTGGGAAAAGGTGGGAGGGGGGGCAGGAGGGGGTCAATGGGGGAAAAATGAGGAACATCTGTAATACATTCAACAATAAAGATTTAAAAAAAAAAACTGGACTTTGGTTTTAGCACTTAGTAGCTGTAGGGTCTGTGGCAAATTACTTATCCTCCAAACCTCTCTTTTCTTTGTATGTAAAATAGGGAAAATATTTAAAAATCTACTGTTTATAGTCATTTTGACCATCAAATGAACTAATGTATCAAAATGCTTAGTACAGGACTTGGCACGTAGTAAAAGCTCAATTGTGCTATATTGCAGTTGTATAGATTTTGGTGTTAGTTGGTGAGGGAAGTATCTACCATCATTATTAAAATAAGGCAGGGCTGAGGAAGCCTGGTATAATTTCAGAAATCAGGAGCATGGCAGAGACATGCAGGAAGCAGCATGCTTGGACTCTGTATGTAGGCCCCTCCTCCAGGCAGAGTGAAGGATAGGCCTGCAGCAGTGGGAGGGGTTCCAGCCTTCCCGAGTGGCTTGCTGTTTTCCCATGTAGGGTACTATGGGATGCAGATCATTGTCCTATTATTCCTAGTTCTTTTAGTTAACCCACTTTTTCTGCCAGCTTTTATGTTGATATTACAGTAGGGTAGGATGGGGAGGATGGAAGGAGTAGTAAATAATAGTGCTGCTTAGAGCAAAAGCTCAATTCTTCACCTAGGCCACCTTCTAAGACAGACTGTGATAAGTATGGTGAACATATCTTCTGAGCAAAATGAACTAAGATTATATGGTCCAACAGGAATTTTGTCCTTTTTCCAAGTGTGAGAGTAGACTACATACAAAAATATCATAATTTTTGGAACATTTCAATAGTTGTATGGGGACAGTGCAATAGAATATTTTGAAATTGTACTATCTAATTTTAAATTAATTAAAATTAAATGTCATTTACATTTTAGGTCCACTTTTGCATTAGCCACAGTTTTAGTACTTAATAGCCACATGTGACTAGTGGTCACTGTATTGGAGAGCACAGATATAGAACATTCCACCATTATAGGAAGTTCTATTGTACACGACCCCTGTAGAATATGTGGTTGGTATAATTATAGACTTCCAGGGAATAGTGCAATCTTGGACCATATGCCCTATAATAAATCGATTTGTATCAATTCACCACAATGCTCTAATTCCTCCATCACACTGTGAGGCACAAGGCAAACAGCACAGGGTTGGCTTCAGAGACCTTCACTTCAGATCTTAGCTCCCACATTGACTGGCTGAGTGACTTTAAGCACCTCTCCTAGCCTTGGTTCCTTTAATAGTGAAATGAGGGAGTTGGATCAAATGAAATAGTTTTTTGAGGCTTTAAAATTCAGTGATGTAAAGAGTCTTTTCCCAGTAATAATGAGTTCACAGGTCCTCCTTTGGTAAATGACTTGCTGTTTGAGAAACAGTGATCTCTTTGCATAGATAACAGCAGGACCTCCCTCTGATGTCTCAATATTTTCTGCTCTGTACAAAGCAGGATGGGCTGTCAACCAATTAGAATCCTCTATCCCGGGATTGATCCACCAACTGGGTGTTTGGGTTTTGTATCTGTATGCATATAAATGTGTTGTATGTAATTTTATGCTCTTGGAAGTGTCATACTTCCCTTTTAAAACAGCCTTGTTGTATTAACATGAATTAGTGACTCACCTGAGGGTATATGGACTGTGGTTCTGGCGAGGAGAGTTCTTGGTAACTAAATTCCCCAGATAGATTACGAAGGATAGTCTGACTCGTGGGATACTCATGTGCTGTTTGATTTGTTGTTATGGTTTTTCCCCAGCCTTGGCCAGAATGGAACTCACAGTACTCAACCAGTAATAGCCACTTAACATCTCTGCTGGCCTTCTGCTTCCTGCTTGCTGTGGTGGGAAGGAAGGTGTCTTTGTGTTTAGCAGCTTTAAACATGCAGGCAAGATGTCGCAGTTCTGACTACTCTGGGTAAAGATTTTTCCCTACCAACCTGAGGAGGAGGTCATTAGGTTAAATAAGAGCCATTACTGACTTTTCTTGCTAAGGTTCCAATGTCAGTTTGGGGAGAGAATCTGGACCTTCTGCAAAAGTGTAAGTGTAGAGTACTGGCTCCTCAAACTGTCTCTGTCGCTGACCTGCTGTGTCCTTGGACAAGGCCCCAGCCTTCTCTGAGCCTTAGCACTCTGTAAACCCTTTCCCTCTAGCTGGGATCACGGGGTGTAACATAATACATATGGGTGTTCTTTCAGCTTCCACTTTTCCTATAGAAATAAGTACGCACTGAGAGTACAAATGACTAGTGTTCGTAAAAATAAGCAAGGCTGTAACTTGAATAACCAGAAACAGAGGGGAGTAGCTCTGCTTCACTTGAGTAAGCTTTACTTAACTCTTTAAAAAGCACCAGGACATTTTTACGGTTTTTATTTTAATTAAAACCCATTTAATTAATTTAAAACATTAAAAATATGGGTTTTAGCCCTGCCGGTGTGACTCAGTGGATTGAACTTAGTCCCATGGACTGAGAGGTCCGCGTTCGATTCCTGGTTAGGGCACATTCCTGGGTTGTGGGCTCGATCCCCAGTGTGGGGCATGCAGGAGGCAGTGGATTGATGTTTCTATCTCTAAATAAATAAATGAATAAATAAATAAATAAATAAATAAATAAATAAATAAATAAATGGATTTTACTTTTTAGAAGTTATTCTAAAAAGAAAGAAAGGCTCTTTTGTTAAAGTTCTGGTCATCCTTTATTTACCTTTGATGTTTCTGTTGTGATCCTGTGTGAATAGTTTAGCTGTGTTTCAATTAAATGTGTCCTAATGTCATCACAATTAAAATTTTCTCTTTCCATCCTCTTTTTTCTCTCCTTCTGAATGGGTCTTCTGTCTCTTTTTCTCTCCCATTTGGTTCTCCTTCTTTAGCCTACCCTCAGTGTCCAGGCCCCATATGGAAAAAGGTTGCTGTTCTCAGCTAGTGTGGAAAGAAGGGTGGGTAACCTTATGATTCACTCCCCTTCCCACCCACCATGCGGTCAGTTGTTTGCGGCTTTAATCAGCAGATCTTGTGTGTGTGTGTGTGTGTGTGTGTGTGTGTGTGTGTGTGTGTGTGTGTAGCGAGCACTCTGACACGCCTGCTTGCTGACATCCGTGTGTGTGTATGTGTGTGCAGCACGCGTTCCCTCAGACACGCCTGCCTGCCTGTATGTGCGTGTGTGACTGCAAGCGCTTGCACACGCCGGCACGCCCGAGTGAGTGAGTGCGTGCGTGCGTGTGTGTGCGCGTGCGGGGCGCGCACACTCCAGCCTGCCCGCGGGCCGGGAGGAGGTCGCCCGCCAGCGCAGGTCCAGCCTGTGCGCGCCCCGCTGTTTCCATAGGAACCGCGGCCGCGCCGGGGCCCCCCTGCGGAGTCCTCCGTAGGAGCATGCCCAGTGGAAGCCGCTAGTTTGGCTCAGGTCTGGGTTTCCAGTAAGTGGCGTGCGGGACTCCGGAGAAATCGCAATGAGCTGAACCGAGAGTCTTTGTGTGCAGTGGGCGGCGGCGGCCGCCTGGTCTGGAGACCCGCCCGGGAGCCCGGGAGCCCGGCAGCAACCATGCTGGCGTGCCTGGCCCGGGGGAACTTGCTGGACGTCCTGCAGGAGGGCTTCACCGAGGTAACTGCCTGCCCCTCCCACTCCCAGCTCCCCTCCCCCAGCGCCTCCCGCCTAATCTCTGGAACGGGTTGTGGCCCTCGGTCCTCATCCTCACGAGGACCCCAGAACAATTCGCCAGCAGAGCCCCAAATGGGCATCGGTGGTGGGGGCGGGGCAGACAACACGGGTGCACCGCGAAAAATCAAAGGGGCCGCCTGCCTCTATCCAAGCTGGGCATTGACCTTCCCTGGCAGCTTACCTGAGCCCCAAGACAGGACCACAAATTCAGAGGTTATGTCCTTCCAGAAGAGGTGGTTTCCACTGTCCCCACGGATTCTCCCAAGGAAATTCCTGAGTACATGGCAGTAGTGCTCATTCTATTTCGGGAGCTAACCGAAGAGCCAGGGAAGGGTGGGGTGGCATTGCATTGGTAGAAAGTTTGAGAGAGGGCAGGGTGAGTGTGTGGTCCATATGAAGTGCCCTCTTCATGTTGATATCTTTTTCTAAATTCAGGGCAGTAGATGTCTCCACAGCTAACGGTATGATTGGCAGAGAAGACCTAAAAGGAGAGAGAGGGCCTGGGTGTCTGGGCTCAAGTCAGGGGAACCAGCATTTTCTCCCTTCTGTGTGAGAGCCGGAACTAGGGCCCCAGTCTGACAAGCAGTGTGGGCCAAGGCTGTCTAGTCTTTCTCTTCACTGTTTTCTCTCAAAATTCTGTTACTTATTCCATTTCCTTCTCTTGCGATCCAGAAAATTCTGATTTTGGACCCTCCCCCCCTGTAATTTGCTCCATATGTCTGTCTTTCATTACTTCTGAGCCCCACCCTTTGGGTTGCCTTATCCCGGGTTCCAGGGAGACCCCTACAAGGAGACCTAGACTTAGTTGTGTCTTTCTTACTTTCTCCTTTTCTTTTCACCTCTCCCTCTCTTCCTTCTCTTTCTGAAATTTAATATTATTTTTAAATCAGTTTTTAGTTAAACAATATGAACATTACAAGCAAGACTGAGTACCTTGGCCACCCCTCCAGTCTTGGCCTTTCCCCCAGAGGTATTCATTCTCATGAATTTGTGTGTAAGGTTTTTGCTCTACAGCTGCACTACAGGCTCTTTCCTTAATTCCTGTTTCTAATTAAGAAGTTCTGCAGCCTGACCTATCACAGAACCTTTCCAGTCCTGGCCCTTGTGCCCAGCCTTGTTCCTGACACAGAGAGGAAAGTTGCAGAGATGCTGTCCGGGTACTGTCTGGGTCAGAAATTTCCTTTTGGCTGAGGAGTGTCACACCCCTCATGGAAAGGCAGGGTTTGCATCCTGCCGGCACTGCAGGGCTCCTCATCTTTGCACCAGTCCTCTTTTTTTTATCCTCACCTGAGGACATTTTTCCATTTTTTGTTCAGATAGAGTGGGAGGGAGAGAGAGACAAACATCGAAGTGAAAGGGACACATCGAGTGGTTGCCACCCGCACCACCCGGGCCGGGGACAAACTGCAACCAAGGTACGTGCCCTTAAGTGGGAACCGAACCCGGGTCTCTCTGGACTACAGGCTGACGCTCTAACTGCTGACCCAAACTGGCTAGGGCTGCATCAGTCCTCTTTGAGCATATGTAAGGGGATTGTTAACAAAGAGCTACAGTCATCGAAGCCAGGAAGCCACCTTTGAGTGCTTCCAGTATTCCTGGTTCCTCTTTTCTCTGCCTTTGGGCCTCCCCTGGTCTCAAGCTTCATGCATCTGACTTATCCACCAATTGTAGCAGAAGCCCCCTAGGTCCTCCTCTGGCCTCTCCTTTTTAAAGGTCTGCCCCCAGGTATCAGGTCATACTGCCTTATCAGGAGGAGAGAACCAGCAGAGTCAGCTGTGGTCTTTGCCTTCTGTTCTTTTTCACTTCCAAACCTTTTCCCTGAGGAGTTAAGAGGCGTGGCTGTCTTTTTCATGCTTTAGTGTGTCCATAAATATCCCCTGACCTACAGCCTGGCCAGTGTGGCTCAGTGGTTGAGCATTGACCCATGCACCAAGAGGTCACTGGTTCAGTTCCCAGTCAGGGTACATGCCCAGCTTATGGGCCCGATCCCCAGTGGGGGGGCATGTAGGAGGCTGCCAATCAATGTTCTCTCTCATTGATGTTTCTATCTCTCTCTCCCTCTCTTTTCCTCTCTTTTTAAAATCAATAAAGAAAAAAAATATCCCCTGACCTCCAATTCTTATAAAACATAAGGGACCGAGAGTAGGAGAGTTTTATTTTTGTGGTGGTAATGGAGTCTTCATAAAAATAATAGACACACAACTTTATTATGAATTCATCTCTAGAATAATGTAGTAATGCCTATTTTTTTCTTTCTGAAATTTGATTTTTCTACCCATCCTGTAAACTTCCCTCCACCCCATCTATAGGCTAATGTATAATCTATTCCCTTCTACTAGTGTATTTGAACTCTGATAGCCAATAGGTACTTTGGTTTCTCTGAGAAAATTACATCATCTACATAATATTAATAGTAATATGTTAAATCTCAAAGGTCCCTTAAAGTTTAAATTATTTTACATACATAATAAATTATACTGAATAATTCTTTTCACATAGTGTATCACACTTAGTACTACTGAATAATGCTATAATTACTTATTTCAGATTTGATGGGGCCCTGATTGACCTATTCCATCCTCTAAGGTTGCTTAATAGATCCAGTAATATGCATCTCTTTGTTGGAGTCTTGTGATAAGGATGTAGATAGGGACTTAAAGGCCAGTGTCAGAATATACCTCAGTTTCTCTGAGAAACTCTTCCTACTGAGACTAAGAATACCACACATGTCCAGTCATCTCTGGGGAATGAGTCGAGCATATCTGACAGTATTCTTCATCACTCAGATGTTTTTAAAGTCTGCGTGGTTAAGGCTGTGCCCTTGCCCGTAATCAAACCCGTGACTCTTTGGTCTGCGAGCCGATGATCTAATTGCTGAGTCAAACCGGCCAGGGCTAGATTTTCTTTAAAAAGTATTTTGGTGCTTATGTTGGAAGGTTTTGGTAGCCCGAAGACTATAATATAGTTTGGCCAATAAGCATTAATTTATTCACTTATTTAGTTCATTTATTGAATGAGGGGGTAGATAAAATAATTGAAAAACACCTCATTCATGCTTCCAAGGAATTTATAGGGAGAGATTTATAGGTGTACTGAAAAAAACATACGATGCTTAATGTGTTATGTGCCATAAAAGAAGTAGTGTTTGTGGGAGATTATAGAGACATCTTCTACTTAATGATATCATGAAAAGTACCAAATATTTACCAACTCACCTGCTCACTGAGAGCAGACTTTTTTCCTGCTAATCTGGAAAAGATGCATGCAAGTACTCATTCAACAGATAGTCACTGAGTGACTGTGTTTACCAGGCACCATGCCAGGTTCTGGAAATAGAAGTCAAATGACATAGAGTCTGTGCCCTACTGGAGCTCGAAGGTCAATGAAAATACAGTAAATGCTCAGAGTATCAAACTTGGGAAAATTGTGGTGATGTAGAAATCCTGCTTGTCAGGCAGAGCAAACCTGTGCCTGCCTGGAGAGTGAATGGCCTGAGAGACTGAAAGTTATGGGAACGATCTGTTAAAATGTTGGTCAACCGGAAACCAGGTGTCTGAACCTTAAGCTTTTAAATGTATGACCCGGGAGCCTTTCCCTACCATTTTTTCTCCACGTAAAAAAGTAGAAATTTAAATCCCACGTGGAGGTTCATCTGCTTGGCAGTCCCTGAGAAATACAGGGAGAGCCTTTGTCTGGCATCATTCCCACAGGGGGACGTGGGTGAGTGGAGAAGAGGATCGGCATGTGCAGCAGCTGCAGCAAACGTCTCTCCGAAGTGCCTTGTGCCTTCATGGAGTAGGATTTGCAACATGGGGCCAAGCAGCGGCTTTCAGACTTTTCTACAATGACTTCCTCTGTGCTTTGCTGTAGAAATTAAAGGCCAGTTAAGTCTTTAATGTAACAAAGCACTGCACTCCCCAACCTTCTTTTTTCTATCCTGACTGATTTCTCCACTCCTTACCCTAGCTCATTGGCATTGTTCCCACAGGAGTCATTGCCAGCTAAACAGATGCTCCCTGGCAGCAAGCTATCAGGCAGCATTATGTTCCTCCTGGTGAGTGATGGGCTGGCCGGGCGTGTGGAGCAGTGATAGGGTACTGTTTGCCAGGTGCCACTCCCCCATGACTGGCCTTGTTGTCTAGGCTATAAAGACTCAAACTGAATGAAACTTTCCTGAATGTTATTTCCTTATTTGTTATCCCCAAACCAGGCCCTGTTTAAGTGGTCATGGACATAACCTTCAATGGTCATGTTATCGGTGGAAGTAGAGTTCTTGGGGTGTCACAGGGAAAAAACTTCCTGAGGCTCCCATGGGAGGATGGGATTTCGTGGAAAACTTTATTGATGATGTAACATTAAAGTTTCTCTCCAAGGTCCCATCTCCATCCGTCCTGCCATGGAAAATGTCCAATCTTGTCTTCAGCAGGGCTAGGATCAAGGCCACTGCCCAGAGTTTCTGATCCATATTAAAGCACCGTCCAGTCCAGCATCTGGCTAGTTTAGCTTGTTTTCCAGGTTGCAGTTCATTGTGTGTGGGGTCCACATGGCCATTGGCCATGCAGCTGCTTAAGGCCACGTGGCAGGCTAGCGCAAGGGCAAGTGTGGGCCATGGAGCAAGGAGAAACAGGAGCGCAAGAGAGCACAAGAGTAGGCAAGAGAGGGAACTCTCTTTGTCGAGGGATTTTTAACCTTCCAAGATTTCAGGGGCTTGCATTGGGGTCCAGCCTCCTAGCTAGTGATCCTTTTCCCAGGCTAGACTGACAGGCAAGTACCTTCCCTATGTCACCCCAACTTCACTGTGCATGTGCCCATCTCCCCCTTTATTTGATCCCTCCGTGATTTGCAGAGAATGGACTGGTGGTTCCCTGGGGAGTGTGAAGCTGTAGCTTCCTGGTGAAGCTGCCCAGATGACCATGCTTATAATGTCTGGCTCTCCTTTGCTC